TGGACAGTGCTGGTCTGCTGTGGAACATCTTCCCTCCGAGATCTGGCAGGTCTCTATTCTTCTAGCCTTCAAGCGTTAGAATAGGAGGAAGCTAGAAGCAGAGGATGAAATGGTTAGATAGCATCACCGAAGCAATGAGCATGAAACTGAGCCAACTCAGCGAGGCAGCGAGGGACAGGAAGGCCTGGCACGATGGGGTTCATGGGGTCACGAAGAGTCGGACACGACTTAACGACTGAACAACAACAACAACAACAACAAAAAGCCAGTGACTGTGGTTGTTTATATATTAGGGAGTGTTGGTTTAGGGTCCCTGAGTTGTTTCTTGGATGCTGGTTTTGAAGGTTTCTTTAACATTCCTATTGTTTTTGGTGTGAGCCACCCGGAGTTATGGCATATAAGATGGGCAGTCATCTAAATCTCATAAACAAACAAACAAACAAACAAATAAATGCTCCCTAATATGCACGCTCTTTTTAAAATGCACTTGAACTTTTTTGCACCTTTTGCAAATATTATTTCATGCAGATTGAAGAACTCATGCTAGCAGACCGTTTGCTGTTACTTAGAGATGGGAAACAAGTGCATTGGAATAAGAACTTATTTAATTTCAATGTTCAAATGAACAAAGAAAGTGAAACTTGGCTATCTGCAATTTGCAGGTTTCTATGGGACAATCAGAGCAAAAGGACACACGTTCATGAGAATGATGCACGGAAATAATGAACTGAGAAGAAATAGTTTTGCAAAACCCGTGCCTGTTTCACAAAATTGCAACCCAAACCTGCATATTTGGGGAACTATTCCCAAAAGCACATGGCAAATGAGTGCACGTATTAAAAAAATAAAAAGCAAGCATAACACGCCAAATGTGACAGATTTGCAAAAATTGAGAAACGGAGAGGAACTGATACTAATAGATTTCCAAAAAGGGAAGGAATGATAGTGGCAGTTTTGTAAAAGTGAGGAACTGATATTGACAGAACAGCCCAGCTCTAGTTCCTAACGCAGGGTGTCCCTGGGAGGAATGTCAAAAAGGCAACATAGTGGCCTTCACAACGCAGTAGAAGCCCTGCCTCTTTTTATATATGGCGCACGTGATAAAAAACAGGCTTCAGTTGCACAGTTGCAGCCGCCATCTTGAAGCCCTTGATGCCCCCACCCTGGATGTCCTTGCTGCCTTCGTATCATCAACGTGAGAAATATTTCCACCAAGGAAGAGAAATCTTCCCTCACCACTTGTTTATTCTTTTGGAGAAAGGCAACACACTTGAAAAATAACTCCCAACCTTGTTGTGTTACCTCCACATCGTGAAGATTTTCCACATGCAGTAGAATGAACCCTCTACAGTAGTAAGGCGGGGTTGTACCACCTTCACAGGACGGAGAGATACTATCGTTGACGGCTCCCCCAACTATTGAACTTCACAGAAAGTAAAATCCCCACACATTTGGGAGAAAAACTGTAGCCATCCACTCACTCCCATAGTGCTATTCTACCAAATACAGCAGTGTTGTTTCAATGTAGGGATTCTGAGCATCCCATTATCGCATGCAATGCAATCAATACACATTCAATATCTGTATACCGTATACCACCCAGTGTCACAATGGCTTGTAACTTTAATAAAATAAATAAAAATGATGATGATGGCGACGATGATGATGGTGTCTATCTTGTCCTCCAGCAGCTCAAAGTAGCAGAGATAACACTTTCTCCTCCAACTATGTCCCCACTGCAACAGCCGTACGAGATAGGCTGAGCTAAGTCTAGTTTCATGGGTTGGATGTGAACCAACATCTTGGTCACTATACCACACTGGCTCAGCAAGGGTCTAATGGAGCTCAGTGCAAGGTCTGGAGAAGCCTGGTGCCCTTACCATGATCTCTGCATGTCATTGTCCCGGGCTTCTTCTTCAAGGCTCTGTTGGCGCCTTCGGTGCAAGGGAGGCAGATTGGCCTAGAAAGAAAAGATGGATCTGTTTAATTCAATTACTATTAGGAGAAATCCAGGGGGTGTCAGTAAGCGGGGTGGGTGACGAGAGAAATGAGGGAGGACAGGGTGGTAATTTGAGTTGGGTAGGGCCAGCTGGAATTTTCCAACTTTTTTGGCCTTGAGGTCAGATGGGTTCTAGATCTTCTGTTTGTTATCACTCAGTTAAGCCCGTGTCATGGTTCTTGCTACCGTTTCTGTGTCAAAATGGCTAGAAATTATTTTCAGCAATTGGGCCAGAAAAATTCCAAGCTGTAGTCAAAGGGGGTTCTTTGGACCACAAAGGAGTGTGGCCAGATGGCCCTTGACTGGCCACACTTGTTGTTTGGGATACAGAATCCACAGTGCTCACCACCAAAGCCGGTACCTGTTTGTTTATTTACTTAAAAAATTAAAAAGGGCTTTCTCTGCCTTTCTGCCAGCACAGGCAATACAGAGAAAAATTGTAATTAAAACAGCAGCATGTCAGTAATAAACAATCAACATGAGAACACAAGCATTCACTATAATAAACATAGAGAGTCAAGAGATCACAAAAATATTAAGCCTCATTCATCATTCATCACCCTCACTTAGCGACTGCCTCATATAGCGACTGTTTGCAATTACGAAGGAGATGAAAAAATAACTTTGCAGCCAGTCCTCGCCCTGATGACCTTTGCAGGCTTGTAGAGCAAAGGAAAGCTGAAGTAAGATCATAAGTACAGTTGCAGTTT